AATGTTTAACGGAATGATTATTCATTTCTACCTATAGGTATACACGGAGAAAAATGGATTGTTAAAATCATATAGTAAAATTTATATTGAAATCAGTACGAGAAGCTATTATTAAATCAAACAAACCTTGACACACGCTGTACAATATGAATATGTCTAATCAAAATTATTCTCACTATAATAATGATATTGTATTAAATATGATCTCAGATATTTAAATATATCCAAGAGCAAATAGATAATAAACATTAAAATATAGTTTATTAACGAAATGGGTTTATTACACGATGCTTTTTTTGAGCTCCGAAAAAAAAATTGTCTCACATCGACTCGGAAAATTTTCTTATAGAATATGGCCTGTAGAATCCATAATTTCAAACAGTTCCAAGATTGGGCTACTGGTTCAAAAGTTACAGCCCTTTGAATTTTCTTTCGAAATTGGTTTCTAGTCTATAACTTTTGATTGAGAAGTCTGATCGAAAAAGTACGAATTGTTTGGATTCTACGCACCAAAATTAATAAGAAAAAGTGTTTTCCCGAGAAATTTTGGTGTAGTCGATTTTTGGTAAAAAAGGAAGGTTATACACTGCCTTTTTTTTGAGCCCCGAAAAAAAAATTGTCTCAGATCGACCCGGAAAAAAAATTTTCTTATAGAATGTGGCCTGTAGAATCCATAATTTCAACAGTTCCAAGATTGGGCTACTAGTTCAAAAGTTACAGCCCTTTGAATTTTCTTTCGAAATTGGTTTCTAGTCTATAACTTTTGATTGAGAAGTCTGATCGAAAAAGTACGAATTGTTTTGGATTCTACGCACCAAAATGAATAAGAACAAGTGTTTTCCCGAGAAATTTTGGTGCAGTCGATTTTTGGCAGGGTGTTGTAATAATCTATTCCCGTATTACAAAAGCGTGCATATGAGATGGTTGCCGTTACATAGGTACAGTTTTTTTGTATGAGTTAAAACAATATATAGTAAAACTAGCTATACACTTGCAACCCTGCTTGCAACAATATGTATATGATAAATTTTATAATTCTTCATAGCTATCCCTATACGTATTATATTTTTTGATAGCTATTATTATATTTTTAATTACGTTTAACATACATTTTTCTCCGTGTATGTCATACAAATCGAGAAAATGCACTTATGTGGTTTTCTAATTTTGTTTGGGAGCACGGATGGTTCTCGTTATCAAAAAAGGACTATAGACACAAGCACAAAGAATTTGTCTTGCCTTTCAAAAAGCTAGCACAGATTTCAAACGCATTATGCGTATACCTTTGGCGAGGAACATTTTGGAAACTAACGGCTCACCAAATAAAAAAAATCAAGCAAAAAGGCATTTTCTCATTATTGTCTTGTAAAATACCTCCTCGAAGCAGAGATGACCGATCTATAAGCGCAGACCCGTAGAAAGAAATAAATACCCATCTGTAAATTTTTATCGATCTATAAAATTATTAATCTGCAAAAAATTTTGTAGTCCTTCTTGTATCAGTTTAAGGAAACTGACTTTTACTTGACAATCCGTTTACTGTGAGGCTGCGTAATTCCATTGGTAGGTATACTTGCTTGATATTGTTTTTAGGATTCACAAGTGATCCGTTAAATGCACGCATAAAAGTGAATCCTTCCGTGTTACAAAAATTGTAATTTTTTTTAATATACGTATACCTAGGATAATCCGTCTATTATGAGGATTGCAATTTTTGTGGTAGGGTAGGTACATTAAATATTTTTACTTATTTCCTTAATTGGTTTTGTTTACAGAACCACTAAACTCCTTCTAAATGAATACAAAGGCACCTTAGCTCGTTCTCATTTTAAAAAAGACAATCTTTTAAGTAAACTGGCCGTTTCTATTGAGAGGGGAGTAATTTTTGTGGTATGTAGGTACTTCAAAAATTCTTTTTCCTTGTTTGATACGTGTAGTTTCGACATTAATTTCAATTTCCTCTTATTCATGGATAGGAATATGAATTGGCTTAGACTGTAGAGGATTCACCTTTTAAGGACTAATATAAAACCGTTTCCAAACCGTTTCCAAAATTAGAGAATGTAGATATACTACTTATCTACATAAAAACGAGCATAAAAACTGATTTTATATGTAAACTTTTTTAAAAGATAAATTATTGAATGTTAATCTTTTAGTTATCACATCGCCCATGGAGAAAATTTTAAATGGGGATCATTCCTTTACTTAATGTGTTTTCGTTATGTTTTTGAACCGTTAATAAAACCAAAGAAGGAGTTGGCAAGAGTAAAAAACCCACACCTCTCCCGGAATATTGTTTGGAGATTTTTTTTATAGATTTTATAATTTTCAGAGCCTTAACATCCACTTGGCAACTCTAAATTGCACCTAGTTTACGCGTATAGGTACATATTTTTAAACCTGTTATGCAGATACATACGTTTAGATGTCTACCACCCCAGCCAGAGGATTACCTCTTCTCTGCGTAACATGCATTTTAGAATTTTAGTGCCTGGTGGCATTTATAATGTTATAAGCTTACCTTTTATACAGAAAATGGAAAATCTTATATGGAGTATTTCTGGGATTAGTCAAGAGCGAAATTACCACTTCCTTTGTTAATCTTTATTTGGTAGAATTTTTTTAAATAAAAAAAAAATGATTACCTAAACCTCGTGTACCATAATTTTTAGATGGTCATGGTCTTCTGTACCTGATCGGACCGAAGTCAGTCCGGTTGATTTTTTCGCGCGATCTGGACAATTTCAGATTCCATCCCTATTTGTATTTGTGATCTCTTAAAGTATGAGCAAGAAACATGCAAGATAGGTAGCTAATGGGAAGGGAATCCCACAAATTAGACAGCCATCAGAAAATGAAAGAGAAAAATAAGTAGCTCTTTTTTTGCATTAACAAGATAAAGATCGTAAGCAGCGCCAAACTAGAGAAATCTTGCATTGTGAAACACTAATTTCAAATTTCAATAAGTATAGGTACATTTTATTCACTTTGCAAATTCTGTAATTATTGAGAAATATACCTATGGATAAAATTACATCGGTATATTATAGAAACCATGCAAATTTGAAATTACATTATTTCTGCATAAAGTGACGTTGGCGCGTCATCGGGCGTCAAATACGTTTAAAATGCAATCGATGGGTGACTATAGGTATTTTGTGCACAGGTGTTGAGCTATTTTTTATTCTGGGGCGCTATATTTAATCGAATCGACTTGAAAAAAATCATGGGTACCTACCGGTTATGCCAAAATAATGTTCTTTTTATGAGAAACCGTTTTTGAAAAAAGTGGGTGCCAAAGTAGTCCCGTGTTTGGGGTTACATTGGCACCTAAACAGAAAAGTAAAAAATATTGTAGTCCCATCGTGGGGTTACATTACGCACCAGATTATTCAACATTTTCTATTAAAACTTAACCGCATTCTCCATGAAAAATAGCACCTTCATGTTATTTTTCACTAAGCAACAAAATTATTCTAAAGGTCCTGATTTATATTGTTGGGCCATTCTGAAATGTTTCTTCCTTGGTTTTGGTAGGTATAGGTAGGTAGGATATTTTTGTACCTTAGTACCTAACAATTTTACTGATGGTGGCACTGACAGTAACAGGAAAACCCCAATTTGCTACCTGGTTGACGGTCTCCAATATTTGTGTCCCCTCCTATTGGGATTAGGACCGTCGGATGACCTACGCGACCCGCATGTCTCTCAAATAGCCTGTTTCGGGAGGAAAGTTCCAGCGTTGGAAGGTATCCTCTTTACTCATAACAGCTTGACACGTGCACCATATTCTGCACGGATGAGTTTACTGCCCTAGGTATATCTGAACAAATCTCGATAAGTGATTACTGAATTTTAAAAAACAAAGGGGCGCGCGCTCTGCCAAAGATACCCCGGCGTGTGCGTTACCTTAACGCCCTTTATACAGTGCCGGATTTAGGGTTTCTGCCGCTGTGGGCAAACATTTTTTGCCGCCCTTGACATATCACTATATCACCGTTATTACAGCGCAAAAGCTCCCTTCGAATAAAAAAAGTAAGGCATTCATTGGCTATATTTGCAATGCAATGAATGTACCTACTAACAGATTTTATTTTTGCTTCATTTCATTTACCGATTCACCGTTTACCTAAAAAATTTGAACGCATTGTAATGTTTCTGTTTTCCTCCAAATATGTTGCCCTTACAACTTTGCCGCTGTGGGCAATTGTCCACGTTTGCCCCTTATAAATACGGCACTGCCTTTATACCAAAAAATATGTTGCATACTGCTACATCTTAAGCAGCTTAATATTCAGTAGTTCGTGCCATTCATTAATGGGAACAGTGGATGGTAAAGCAGCTTTTAAATTTGTTATTTTACTAGAGCAATATAGATTTTTTTAAAAATTGTTTTTATATGTGGGAATGCTATACTTACCTATTTTAAACTCCAGATCTTATCGACTATATCTGCTTACAAAGATAATTGAATTTCAGGTAGCTTGAGGTCTTGCGCCTATTTAATCAACAATAAAAAAGGTGTTTTAAATCCGTTTTTATTACATGTGCCTGTGGTAAATGTATAGGGAAGATGTTTATTGTTGTTTAACAGGTAGTACAAACTTGTTTCATCTCATCCACAAAAAGATCTATTTACTTATGGGATTTAAACAAAGATGGTTGTTTGGACATCTTTCATATATGCGCTAAACGTCATCAGGTGGTTGCCGCGAGAAAGAGAGGGTTAGCATCCCTTAAAGTGCAAAGGGCGTGTAATAATACAATGAATGGTTCTTTTGTCTCTTAGATCACCTGTAACCCTATACAGATGAGGCACACGCGGACCTAATCTCTTTGTCATTGAAATACAGGACATCACCAACTTATTTGGGGTTATATGCTGTGTGGTAAATGTACCATGTGTGCATTATACACATTTACCAAGTAAAGTGTATGAGAGAACAAAAATTTAACGAAATTAAAATTTATTGAGAGATATTTCAACAAACAGCATTGTCACTGAGATTGTTGCACTAAATTGAGAAAGCACGTTTTCACTTCACTCGTTTACGCGATTGCACATTAAATCCTGTCGAATATGAGTAGGTAAATGCGGTCGGATTCCTTTATTCATGACCGGGACTGAAAGAGCAATATCGAACACGTGCTCATAAAGATGCTGTAACTGTTTAAACACTACCGCACTGTATCTGTATAGCATGTAACAAGTAGAAAACTCACTTGATGAGCAATAGTGGTGGAGTGCGGAATCCCTCTCTGATTCTAGGAAACGCCTCATGGCCTATCGCGACCCGGCTGTGAACCGGGGAACTCCCTAGTCCGCCCAGGCCAAGTTAGTGTCGGGCCTGCGACCAAAAGGTCACTAGTAGAGGCTAGAGAGTGCCGAGGGGATGACCTATCACCTCGACTGGTCTGATACGTGCTCGGTTTCGAATCGCCAACTTGAAAGTTGAACATTTCCAAATGTTAGAAAAACGAAAAGCTTTTTTCTGAAATTTAACTCAGATTTACTCACTAGACTTACACGGACAACTAAAAGTACATCGCCAATTTTTGGAGATTAAGAATAATTTCAGCGTAAGTGAAATAAATAAGAAATGTGAAGTTTATGAAGTACGCATTAAAAGAACAATTAGCAAATACGTACGAACGTGATTTTACAATGGCAGTGGTGGCGACTTCGTGGCGCGAATCATCTCTTGTGAATCCTATTCCGACGAGCTTAAATCCTTTATCGAATGTGTTAAATCCTTTGCAGGGAAACTTAAATCCTTTACCGACAAATTTAACCCCAATTTCTTTGCCTACCGAAAATTCGGAATTAGCCGTTGCGGTTATCAATCGCCAAACACCGTCTCAAAATTCGCAAAATAGCACGAACAGTAATGACAAAAATCAGAATATTGAGTGCGTAGTTTGTGGTGATAAAAGTTCTGGAAAACACTATGGACAGTTCACATGTGAAGGTAAGAATCGCTTTGTACCTGCTTCATATCTCGCACGTTTTAAAATTTACATTGTTGAGGATATCATTGAATATGACGATATATGCAAACCGTTGAAAATTCCATATTCGTATGGGACTTACAACATAAAAAACTACACGTGGATTGTAAAATTGTTGCATAAACATTTCATAAGATCTGAATTCGTTCGAAAGTTTTTGAAAAAATGGATAGCCCAAGTTATCACTGGTTTATACGATTGTCGTCCCAATTCCAAACACGCTCCTATACTTATTCAAAAATAGTATAAAATCGTAAAAATTTTCACATCCTGAGAAAGTTATAACATATTTGATATTTATACATACCTAAGCTTTTCTAATTTGCAATATTTCACTACCTAATTCACAATTTTTTCGGAATAATTTTACTTTCTAGTAGTATACTTATTAAAAGTGCGTCCTTTTAAAAATTTTGGCTTCATTTCGGTAAACTTCAAATAGGAAAATCTTTTAATATGTGCAGGTATTGCAAATTTTAAAGGAAAAGCGTTGTTGTGATGGTTCATAAATATTCATTGTATGCTAATATTCAGAATCTGTAACTTCTGCGTCCGCGATGGCCTAAAAATGCATATGCTAACTACAAAATGAGGATCTTTATCTATCCAATATTAAAATCGTTATACAATTTTTACCGAAAAAAAATTTTGGATCGTTTTCGCCATTAAAGTTTTTTTTCGCCATAATGAAGTTATAAATTTAAAGAAATGGACAACCTAAATCGTTAATCGCGATCGCTATACGCTTGTGGTTCCAATTTATTATCGTTAATTATCGTTAAGTTTCATATTTTCTGTTATTTACCGTTTTGTATGCCATCGATGGAGCGGTTGTTGGCGCTTCATGTCTATAATTTATTTGATTCGTATGGAATTGCACACGTGTTGAAACTTACCATTGATTTGGATGTTGTCTTAACACGAAACATTAAACCCTTTTTTGTTGTGATTTGTATACCTACCTATAATAAATTCAGGTTTTTTGGTAATCCGTCGAATTGTTGTCAAATTTGTAGTGGCTATTACTTTATGACCAAAGGGCGAATAAGTGGGTAGTTACTACAACTTACAGAATACGAGCATTTTCAAATACCTATAGGTACCTATAATTTAATCAATTTTTTCAAAATTTGAGTCAAACTGAATAAGACCATTGTCATAGAGGCGTAGATCTTTAAACCGAGGTTTAATGAAACCATACAATTTTATCCTAGATAGGTAGGTATAGGTAATTGTAGGTATCTTCAATTCGCGTCAATCTCATATAGGTATTGGTTCCGCTGCAAATTCCACCCCATCAGGCAATTCCTCACTTCAATGTCATTTAATTGTGCCACCGTTCTCTACAATTCTATACCCCAAATTCATCTGTCATAACAGTGACATAGGTACCTAATATGCCTACCCCATTTTTAGTAAAGAATTGAAAACAGTAGTCTTTAAACGGAAATTTTCATTATTCTTAATAACTTAGGTATTTAACGCATAAAGAGGAGGCCCGAGTTTGGTACCTATACCTGTTTCACAAAGCGAGTTTCCAGGGATGGTGGAAATCGTTTTTAATTCCCTAAACAAATAAATGAACTGGAATATACATCAGACAAGAAAATTTGCATCTTTAGCGCATTCTCAATTTAAAAAAATAGAATGAAAACGTGCTTCAATTCCGTTCGTTTCAAAGTGTATAGGGCGGACGAGAAGGACAGGTTTTTTGAAAAAAAAAGTCGCCGTGTCTATGCATTCCAAAAATTAGACATTAGTAGACATACTATGTGAGCAATTTTTATGAAATTTCCGAAAAGAAAATGGAAATTATGGAGCAGGCGCAGTGATCGGAAGGGTCAAGCTTCAAATACGAATATCTTGAGAACGGAATGTAGGAAGTGGGTACCCACAAAGAGAAAGTGATACATCTTCTTGAGATGCATCCATCCTTATTTGACCTGGTCCGATCACTAGTAACGGAGATATGGTGGATTTTAAGGATCAGAGTGTCGGGAATGGGTACTCTGAAAAAATACGTCCAATAAGTACATCTGAAAAATACTCTTTAGCTAATCGCTAGGGCGACGGCTTTGTTTATAATTGACCCGTTATGTATTAAACTGCCTGCGGCTTATCTGCTTATGAACGCAATTAAATATCTCATTTTTAAACAATCTCCGTAAGAAGTGCCCTTTTATCCCGTCATTCGCACAGTTCAGAACTGTCTCCTCCATTTTGCCACCCACAATTCCAAGCTTCTTTACTTATAATGGCCGTTTGTATCTTGAAATTTTAGTAGAACTTAGGATTATGAACAGTCCATAACGCCTTCGACCTTAATTTGAACTTAAATTAGGGATCGCTTAATTTTTCACTGCATACAAGAATCATAAGTACATATACCGCTACAAATCATTGGAGATTCTCAAGGCACTCGGCGATTTCGTACTCTAACGACCCATAAAACTTTCTGGAAGGTTAAAAGTGCTGTAAAAGACTCTAAAAGCGCGTGGTTCTGTAGGTTTCTGAAAACTGTTCAAAACTTACACGACTGTTAACGACTAATAAAAGCTCCCTATTGGTCTCACACGCTTCTTAAAGCCTCTTGAAGACCTTTTCCCACTTTTCAAGACTCAAAGACTAATAAAGACCTTAAGAAACTCTGCCCTTATACTTTTTGAATGCCCTGGCAATTTTTAAAGATCTTTTAAAATTCTCAAAAGCTCTTAAAAGCTTTTATACAGAGGAGAGGGTTTGAAGGACTCTAAAAGGGAGACCTTTGCAACCCTTGAAAGTTCTTAGGAACCAAGTAAATATCTCTGGAATTTGTTAGGTCGGAATTATAGTAAATTGTGCAGTTGCTTGTTTATAACAAATTTGAGTTTTCGGTTTGATTGGAAGTAATAACTTAATAAGGTCTATTTTATAATTTGTATTTATTTAATCTAAATGGTCCTCATATACGACGTTCCTTTTGCAGGTGACAATGCTGATACAGAATTGGGTTGGATACAATCCTTTAGTGACAATGAATTAGGAAAGAAAGTCTTTTAAAAACTCATATAACCACTTAAAAGCTTAAGGACGCATATAGACGCTCCTCAAGACGAGTCCCCTAAATACTTTCAAAGTATATTAATGATTGTTCGTAAGGACCGTAAAAGCTAATTAAGGGCGTCAAAGATTTTGAAACGCTTAGAAACCGTTGGCAACTTAGAGGCCCTTAAACCTCACAAAGGGTCTTAAAGGCTGTACAAGCCAAATCCCGAGAAAACTCCTCTTTTCGTACTTAAAAGCCTTCACGAGTCTCAACAAACCTCATGATTCATGAATTATAGTTATCAAAATGATTCTTTCGGGCGCAGAAGCCTCTTGAATATCTGCGTAAGCGATACTAACTACTCTAAAAGACTACTGAACAATATACAAAACTCTAAAAGAGCCTTTTGAATGCTTTTAATGGCCCATAAACGAACATGTTTTAAAAAGCCTCTAGAAAGATCATGGGGACCCTTGCAAAACTTCTGAAAAGCCTTGTAGTTCTAAAAAACTGTAGAAGGTGCTATCATAAAATTTGTGACTAACACATAGATTTGCATACCTACGCGCAAATAGCATTCAACAGACCCTACGTGTATTTGCTTACGAGAAGAAAATCGTATTAACTCGACGTTGCTATTATTCTAGAAACTCGACAATCCTACGAGCTAAGCTCCAATGATGAGATCTCAACCCTCTAACGGATACGTTAACGTCGTTGGAGAACTTTCAAAAGTCGATATTTCTCACTTTTTGTTGCAAATCGTGACGGGAAACAACAGATTCACCATGGGATTGTGAAATAAAATATAATCCAAGCAGTAATAAGGTCTCCTACATCCAAAAAAGCAGGCTTCGTAACAGTTTTTTCCGTAACAATTGCATGGTTGTTATTAAAAAACCGTTAAAGATAGACATAGATTTTTTTGTATCTATTTCAGCTTGCCTGCGTTTTGAATTGAAGGTGCCCGGCGTGATTTTCTTTCATTTGCATGGTTATGATTAAAAAAACCGTTGAGATAGACATATGACTTCGGAGTTTTATGTTAGGAAATTTACTCCTCTGCAATTTACTTTTTACGAGCTTTTATGGCTTACATGATTGGTACCGTTTTTGAGCTTTTCAAAGGGTTCCTCCAAATGATTCTGATTATCGGCAAGGAATCCAGAGATCTAGTGCTTCATAAAACCTCCCTTGACAAGGAAGACGCTGACTTGAACAAATTATTAACTTACATGATTTTTACCGAAAACTTTTTACATTCTTGCATTGCAATTAACACTTATTTACGGTATTCATTGTGAAATCACATTATCTGTCTGTTGACTGAACTGTTATGACATTACATCCAGTAAAAATCATCCTGCATGATAGTTAAGGTTAAGGACAACTTTTTTGTTGTAAAGGCCTTCCTTCCGTTCAATGTTGAGCTATACATTATTGTTACTCCAAAATATCTCTATTTTTACAATCGTAATTGCATAGAAACCCCCTACCAAGGTATAGCCACGTTCATATACAACGAACATTGCATATTTGATGACAAAAAATCTTGAGTTTGTTTCCTGTAAATTCTTCTTGTCTGATTTCCTGCTGACAATAATAAGAAAAAGCAAAAATTCGTGAAACACTAAGATCCATTGACCAACAACTAGCAGCTGTCTCAGTTTGTACAGATCGCATCAAATGAGTCGAATCTTTCTTTACTTCGCCAAAATTGTAGCACACGTTAGTTCATTCTCCTATTTTGATTGACTGATGATTCCAGCCGCAAAAAATTGAAACCATGCAGGTGATTCCTAGGCGAATTTTTAATGAATACAGAACAGTCAAACATATTTTTTCCAACTCGATTGCTATAGAAATCAACATTGTTATTCTCGTATGCAATTGCATTAAGATTGTCAAGTAATGTTCGCAAAAAGTTCATCAATTTAGAAATTCAGCGCGGCTATATTTGAGAAAAATTAGATCAAGTAGAAGTGTCATTATAAGGGTAATCGCCCTTTTGTATGTAGGAGTGTTGAACGAAGTCTTAGATTTTTATAGTTTTATGGCCAAAATGTTTTTATAAACCGTCATTTTTCTTTAGAATTCCCTAAAGGGCTGTCAAATTCTATGCGAGGGGTTTTTCCTCTTTACTAACGATGTCTACATTTATTCTCAACGTCTCGTCGTTGTTTGTTTCATAAAAAGTCTTGATTTGTGGCTCTTCTTACTGTTTTTATACATTTATTTTGTTTCTAGACAAATTAATGCGACGTATTTCTCTACCTTTCCGCATGTTCATATTCGTAGTGTATACTGTGTAGCATTTTTAGACTATGTCAATTATTACATGCATATTTTTCTTTGTTTCAGGGTGCAAATCGTTCTTTAAACGAAGTGTACGGCGTAATTTAACTTATTCATGTAGGGGCAGTCGAAACTGCCCAATTGACCAACATCATAGGAATCAATGCCAGTTTTGTCGTCTTAAGAAATGCATGAAGATGGGTATGAGAAGAGAAGGTACGTGTATGTGACTTTTTATTGCGTGTTACTTTTTCATAATTTTATCTCTGTCAAAACGCATTGGATATACTTCTTATTGGACCAATGCTTCTTTACTAACCACCTTTTTAGTATTTTATTTAAAACTCGTATGGATATCATTCAAACGTTAGCTGTTACTATCAGAACTGCTACAGTATTGTGCAAGTTAACATTGCGAAACTGTTTACAGCGTGTGTAGATAACGCTATATCGCTCATATTTTACCCATCTACACAGCTCCCTGTCCAATTTTTTATTTTTTCAGAAGATAGACTTTAGAATGAATGATTAATTATCTTTCGTTATTAAGTTTTAACAGCGTTCTTGTTAATATTAATACAAAACGTCAATTGATGGGCTCGCTTATGATCACTTTTACAATCAATTTATCATTCCCTGTGAACATACGCGCACCAAAATATCCGAGAGAGTTGATTATATATTTAAATTCTTTAATGTATTTTAACGTTTTTGAAAGTTGAATTTATTGAATTGTTTTTCAGCCCACTTAACTGATATTATTGTACACACAAATAGAAACGTAACGATATAAATATCAGGAATATTGCGATAAGAAGGGTTAAATGTCAATTACATCTAACTATACGATGAGCCAATCAGCATTTAATTTATTGACAGATAAAGGTTTATACATAGGCAAATATGACATCCAACAATTAAGAACGTCATAATCATTAGCGTTTTAAATAAAATAATTTTCCAAAAAATTAGCGTTCTTGTCGAATTTTCTGCAGGAGAACCGGAATCCAAATATTTCAACGTTTAAATTTAATCTTCGACAGCACTTAAACTTTCTGGTTATTCTGTATGAAATAGTTAAAAATAATGAATGTATTCAGGCATAACAGATATTGTCAAGTTCAATTATTTCAAAAATGCTCCTTTCCCGTCCCGTCCCGTTTCAGAAAAGGAAACGGGTGGATGTGGAGGTACCAAAGCGGAAGGATGTTTAAATAAATTTATTTTACATATATCTCTAACTTGATATGTTTGATGTACACAAAAAAATATAAGTTTTACCAGTTTCGTCCATTTATTTCCTTCAGCTCTAACTTGATCTAGAACCTGGAATACGTTTCCGCACTCTGCATATCAAAATGTATTAAATAAAGAAAGGCTACCTTCGAAGTGGTCTCAGTTACAAAAAATAAACCTCCAGGACGTTATCTGAGCTGTACCAGCGAAAGTTGCATTAGTATTGAAGATGGCTTAATTGGGTCATACCGCAGATTCTGCCAAAATTACCTGGTGAAGGTGAGCCTAGTTTGGTATATTTCTATTGGTCATCGAGACAGCCGTGAACGTGGGTCTTTGATCTCTACAAGATTGTACATTTTGGCATCCTTGAACATAGGAATAACTATTCGCACTATTGTTATCTCTCACCAAGAATTTTAGTTGGAATTAGTCTTGTAAAATTGTCGCAATTTATTTATCGCAAAAACCATACCAGATTTAAATACCTTAAAGCTTAAAAAATTCCTTTTAAGTAAGCCTTATTACTCTGTGGATGAATTTATGTTGCTAGTACCCTAATTATAATTCGATGACTTGTCTTATATCGTATTTTATGATCATTTGGGCGAATTTCTATTATTATTATTATTATTGCTGCGAATATTCGGGAATTTTCGAGAATTTCTGGTAATATTCATCTTAAAAAATATACGATAATACGACCGAATCAATTTTTTAATAATGTTATGTTTTTTTAAACAATAAAAGTAGAGTTTCAGATTGTTTATTTAACATAGGTACATAAAAAATTAAAAACTTAAATTCTAAGTTCATATGCCATAATAAATACCGTACCTTCGAAACAAAACTCTAAGCATTCAGACAAATTCAAGCAAACTCGAAAATAAGAATGAAGCTTGAAAAACTTCCCAAAAATTTTGGAAGAATGGGAATGGGAAATATTCGCCTAAATTGCCGATGTGCGAATATTCGTTTATAGCACTGCGAATGTTCCGGCAAATTTGGCTGGAAATATTTTCGTTTCTTGAACGTTCAAAAGCTAATTTTGTATTCGTTAGTTTTATATTGAAAGCCTCCAGAATACCAAATTTCGCTACGGTTTCGATTATACACCTTACATCCGACAATGCACGCTCCATACATTATGGTTTCGGAGTGAGCCATTGTGATCATATTTGGAAAAATTGACTTATTTTTGACTTCAAAATCGTTTAAAATTCAAAGACCAAGTGAATATTTTTAGTAGTGTGGAGTCAATGAAGAACAAAGATTTTGTCACAATTTAGATTAAACAATAAAATTTAATTAATGTTTGACTATCCTTGCGTAAATTCCCAAAAGATTCTACGAAAATTACCGGCGTGAGTTTGCTTTACACACGGTATATTGCCAAAGTAGAGTTTTTGGTTCGTCCGCGCAAATTGCGTGAAATTTTGACTATTTTGATGTGCGGCCAAGAATTTTAGTTGGAATGGTTTTTACTTTTAAAAATGTTGTATTAGTTATTTTTATATTGAAAGCCCCCCCTCCCTCTGCATACTATATTTCGTTGCAGTAGTAATTTATTATCACACTGCCAAAACGCTTTGGCAAATATAAAAATAAACAGTCCTAACATTAGAAATTAAATCATGGAAATAGTCAAAGAACAAAGACAAGCGAGAGCGAATGGAAACGCATCCACAGTATTGAAAACAAGAAAAGGTTTAATCACTTAAAGTAATCAGCTAAGAATCAAACGTTTAAAACCTACCTGCAGTCAATAAATCATGACAACTCAATTTGGAACAGTCAAAAAGCAGATTATGCATAAGGGACATTTCCGCTTGCATGAAAGTACTGAAGCATTCTTTGAACAAGTGTCGAGATGCAGTTTCCCAGCTCAGTTTCAATGAACTGTTTCACTAAAGTGCTCATTTGGAAATACTGGACCCATATATTGGTAGTTTTGCTGTGGGGCCATTGTTTTCTAACTTGGTAAGTGCTTCTTTGAGTTTAACCGCAACCACCTCGCCATCGGCTCTGAGACCCTACACACAAACAACTGAGAGAAATATTAAAAAACGAAAAGTGTAGGTTTTGGGAGTTTTGGAAACGTAACACCCAAGCGAAAAATTATGCATTTATTTGGAAGATATGTTTATTGTGATTCCATCTATATTACCCATTTTTTGTACATATAATTACGTTATAGTCTCGTTGAAATTAGAGCATTACAAATGAATTGAAGGTGACTTGCATTTCTTGGACGACGAAAACTTTAAAATCATTCTTGATGTATGCTTTCGCTCGTTGCCAAAAAGCTCTCAGATGTAATTGAATCTGCATTGTTCGACATGTTGAAAAATGTAGGTACTGCTATGCAAAGGGGGTTACCACGCATGGAATTAATATGGTCATCCGATATCATTCGAATTTTTTGGCAAATTGATTGATTACAATTATCAAGATCAAAATCGTAAGGTACCTACGCTAGCTAGTGTGATCCTTAATGAAAAAATTAAGATTTAGGTATAGAACCACAAAACTATTTCTAGAGTATGTTATGTAGTTTATCGGGGCCATTATTATATTCTACACGCACGAATAAATGTTTGTAAACTGCTTTTCGCTGGGTTATGTGCAAATACCAGATTGATTGTTGATCTTGCAAACAGATTATGTATAGTAGGTAATTCTACTTGTGCTCAACTTACAGCGAGGATGTGTCGAATATGTTAATGGATTATTATTGACTACCTATATCTAAAGATTTCATTTATATTTACGCTATAGGCTCCACCAGGTCGATTAAATTATTGCGTAAAATGCTTAATTACATCAGTAACTATTGCGAGATTAATGAAATCCCGTGTTGTTCGACATCTGTCATTATCCCTTATTTGAGTAATTTTGTGAACACAATTTTTCTTTTTTGATAAATGATAGAGTGTTTTTGCTAACAGGAGTTTCGTCTTAGGGGATATTACGGTAAACATATTGTCAGAATGAAAAATATAAAGAAAGGAAGTGTAACGGATTTGGCTAGTGTTGCGTTAATATAATAAATAAGGTAAAACTATTTGAAATTTTCAGCCGCTTTTGCTTACACTGACCACCGATATACCATTAATCTTTAACAAGTCGTTAATACATGCACGCTGTAAACGATCCTTTAGGGCTCGGGAAAAGGCCTTTGTTGGCCCTTACGGTCAAGTATTTGTATATTAAACCGATCAATCATCCACAAGAATGGAGTACAATGAAATGGGTCTCGCTATACATATATATAAGGCTGCCGCATAACCATACTCCACCTATGTGATTACGGGTTATTCCAAGATAAAAAGAAGTATAAGAAATTTGTGTAACAAACGAACAAAAGATTAAAATATTCTAGTAGCAACAGTAGCGTTATGATAACAATTCAATTTCAAAGCTTAGTGTTATTGCGGTTGCATATATTTATGTAATTCGGACCAGAGTTAACAAATACTAATTACACACGCGCGGTTATCGTGTAATGCCAACGCTATTGACAAGTATTTCAACAAACGCAGATTTAATTACCTAAAATCTATGCAATTATCCTCTCTATCCCAGACACAGTTCAGCGCTGCATAAAAGTCAATTCTCGTATAGCAGTTACGCTTTACAATTATATGTAGTTTGATTTTCAAATTAAATATGCGAAACCGGCCTTAACATAGGTACCAAAAGTCAAGTGAGTTATACTCGAATTTCAAGACGCAGTTCTCCGACCGGCAGTTTTAAAATATTACGCTGCCCATTATGCACGCTGCATTGTAGTATCATTTATCAGTCGATTGAAAAGTTTAGCAAGCTTAATGTTTAAAAAATATTATGAATAGTAACGTAATACTCGGCAGGTAGAAAACTCGTTTTATAGGGTTTGCAATGACACCTTACAAGGGGTAGGATATACGATAAGTAGGGGTCCCGGATGACCAGTGTCCAGTAAACATTATGTAAATTAGGCCAGG